AAAAAAAAAAAAAAAAAAAAAAAGTGAATTAATAGGTTAGAAGTAATTTAAAGATTGTTCCAGAAAAATTTAGCTATTTGTTTGTACAGACTTGTTATTAATTTGTCGGGAATGACAATTTTTATCTGCAATTTCGTTATCGATTTAATCAGCTGAAGATATCACGTTGGCTTACTCATATTTCTTTTGTTTTGTGTTCGCATTCTTCAGGTTTAAGATGTTGCAGTGCAATTTATTGGAAATAAATGTGATTAGAATTGGAAATCAAGTTCGAAACAAGAGGTTGGAATTTTTTTTCAGCTTCGCGATTCAATTGAAAATAATTAAAGCTCGTGTTGACGAGAAAAGGAACGAGATATTTCGATATCTTTATTACATATTGTATAACTCGTGGATTTTATTCAAATCTAATTAACAATGTTCTACTTAATTTTTTTTTATATATCTGTGCCGTGCTCGCCGCAAAAAAATTTTCCACTCGCGAAACTAGTGCAGCAACTAAGCAATAAATTCTTTTCTCTTTTCCTAGATAAACCGGTTATATAATTGTTAAATAAATGAATCTCGTGTATCTCATAATATAAAATCCAAAATTAATTCCAATCATACATTTTTAATAATCACAAAAATATGAATCGTCAACGTGACAAATTTCTAAGTTTCTCAAAAATATAACTCATACCTGACCTGTGTTGGACAAAAAAATGGCCTCTTCCTTAAGAATATATTTTCACATTCTTCCACCGTTAATTAAATTCTTTTTTAGGTGTTATAGATTTTATAGAAAAAAAATTTCCATTTGAGATTGAGGAAATGAAAATCTCTCTTCGATGAGTTAGTTTATAAAAAAAAAAAAAAAAAAAAAAAAAGTGAATTAAAGATTGTTCCAGAAAAATTTAAATAATTCCAATATAGCAAATAAATAAACATCGCCACAACCCCTTCCCCCTTATAAACCTTAAACCCACGCATCCTCTTCTCTTCTTCAAAAATCATTCTCCAAAATCTATTCACGTGTCTTCACCTCTTGCATCCGATGTGCTAGAATTTTCTAGTAGCAAATAGACGTAGCGTACACCGTGCAAGGCGTGAGGGAAAAAGCCCTTCTTTCGAGAAACGGAGCGCGACATAGAACCTAAAAAATAAAAAAAAAAAAAAAAGAAAAAGGAAATAGAGAGGGGGAAAAAAAAAGAGAGAGAAGTGTGAGACAGTTTCGCGAAACAGGAGGGGGAGAGGAGGAGGGGTTCGTTGTCGGGACGGAATTTCACGAGCGCAGTTTCTCGTCTCGCAACGAGTTTTTCGTTTGGCCGGCTTGTGTGACGCCAATGGTGTCGAGACGAGGGGCCGCAGGAAGAACCGAAAATAAAGTAGACAGCCGACGAGAAACGCGTATGAATATGCGCGCGCTCTCTCGCCGTGTACGCGCCACAAGCCTTCCTCGCCTCCTGTTGGTCCGGCCTGAGTAGGAAATTTTTAGCTCGTCGGTGGTGTACGCATCCGTATACGCACCATGGCGGGCGTACAAATTCTCGCGTTGCGACCGACCCCTGAGGCCGCATCCGTCACCGAACCGCGTCGCATTTTTATTAATTCGTCTTAACAATTGTGCAGCCGCTGGAATGGATATTCACATCCGTGTAAATATTTCAGGACGTTGGCGACCGTTGTCGCTCGTCTTCGTACTCGAAGGGGAGGATTTTTTCCCCGCTGCACTTGCTTTTTGTCTGTAGAGTCTCTTGTAGAGGTTGTTCTGAAAAGAAGAGAAATTGGTTAGGTTGGGTTGGTTGGATTTTCGGTTTGAGATTATTGGTGGACGGATCGAGGAGCGACAGGTGAAATTAAGTTACGGAGTTTGCGGTTTGGCCGAGTTTGAGTGATTTGAGATTTTATTCTTGAGAGGTGGATAATTGGATGTTCGAGTATTCGAGGTTTCTTCGAGTTTTTTCTCTTTCCACTTTTGAATTCTTTTTAAAATAAACGTCGTCAAGTTTTTTCCAAGTATTGCACAGTGGTTTTCACTTCTCTGGACGGCAAGTGGCTGTCTAATTTATTTTCTCTTCCGATGTATAACTAGAATTATTATCTTCTTGCATAGATTATTTGAATCGTAGAAATTTCTCTGCGTAGAATATCTCTCATGGAAAGGTCTAGCTTCGTTCGATCTAGAGTCGTCTCAAATTTTTCACAGGGGACGCCGCCGATCCGGCATCGCTTTCTACGCGACACGTGTTCAAAACCATGTGTCACCGGGCCTCCATAAAAATCACACAGAAGCAGAATTTTGTTAGAACAGGGTCGATGGTCGGCACAGCATACTTTCTTTTTCAAGAACACTTCAGTTTTAGCGTGCATTTTTAGCCGTGTTCTGCGCTCTTCTCCTCTTGTTAGGTTTTTACGATGGTGTTAGTTGTAATGAAGCATGTGATGCCTTTTTTTTTATGCTTATGCGAGAGATGAAATGTTTTTTAGTATTCTGACGTTATAGCAGTATAAAATGAGACGGGGTTTGCCACGAAGGTTTCACGATTAGGTCTTTCGAGGTTTATGATAATGCAACGTAATAATGTAAAAATATTCGTTTTTCTCATATTTCTTGAAATTTTTATACGCGATTTTATGAATATTTTATATTTGTGGTTTCTTTCTTTCTTTTTCTTTCTTCTTTTTTTTTAAATTTTTGGATTCATAAAAGTATTTCATGAGATAGTTTATGACACCATTTTTCATCATTTTCGAAAAATGTTCATTCATTTCATATCGTAGATTTTTCAAATTTTGTTTTCGAACTTTAGCATCGCTAGTAAATATAGATTTTATTTCAAGGATGTAATTTATCTCGTCGCGTGTAATCCACGCAAACAAAAATTTTTTAAGACTATAAGATATATTTATTTATTTTCAAACTCGTCAAAATTTCTTAAAATTATTTTCGTTCTTTCTTATCACGCAATCTCGTCAAATTTCAACAACTCTTAATTCTTAAAGAAAAAAATTCGATGAATATTTTAATCACATATTTTCATAAACTCTCTCGATTTAAAAAACTTAAATGTCGAATCTGTTTGTATCCCCTCCCAAGCAAATTCGCCAATTTTTTTCCGATTCGCCAATTTAATCCCGAAAATTAATTAAAAATCTCCCATCGAATCTCGACAAATTCCTCATCGATTCGATCGCGGTCATTCAGCATTGTCAAAGCCGCGAGTTATTCTATCGGTGAAACGCTCCATTAGCCCACGATAAACGCTATCACGCGTCCCATTTTACGCCGTCCCATACGATCTGACAGCGCCAAGTATCGCTGGCCTACGTCACTGCGTGCGTAGTCACGTGACTGGTCGAGTCACTCTTTGGCCCTCAAGAATCGTGAACGATTCAGTTTATCGTGACCCGCGATGCGCTCGGCACCGTGCGTCTACATCTCCTATACCGTTTCCCCTCCGACTCCGGCGAGCCTTAACCTCTTCCAACCTCTTTTTTCACGGTTAATCCGATGATATTTCGACCTTGATACATCGATCGATTCACCGTGAACGTTTTATCGCGGATCGGCTATCGCCGACTTATTAAGCGGCCGTCTCGAAGTGTGCCATTTTAACGAGGACAGCCTGTCGTCGCACGCCTGTCGTCTAGCGCGAGTTTTACTTTTGACACGTTTCCCTCCGTGGATCTTAATCCAGTAGTGGTGTTAATACAATTAAAATTATCGATTATTTCGAAAAGATTACGTGATTTTTGCTTTTTTTTTCTTTCTATTGTTTTATGAAAAGGATGAAGAGGAGAGGTGAAAACACGATGTGAAATGGCGTATACGCACGATTGATAGTTCCATTAGGAGACCTGTATTACAGTTTTTTAAACGGTATCCAGAACCCGGGCATTAAAAAGTGAAAGGGGCACTCGTGGAGAAATTTTATTTCTCTGTGATTTTTTTTTTTATTCTTCGAGTGATTTTTTTTTTTTTTTTTTTATTATTCCGTGCACGAAGTAATACGTGATAACGTATCGACGTTAGAGGAATTGTACACGTTGGTCGATTTTATCGAGTGGTGTTTGGAAAGTCGAAGGAGAGTCTGAAGTTGAAGGTAATATACTGTAGTGGTGTGAGTGATGAACGAGACGAGGGACAAAGGTGTGCTCGAAGGTGCGGTGTGAAATGGATACTGGAGATAGTGGTTGAACGACAAAAGGGAAAAGTTTCGATCTACGAAAATGTTGAAGCACATGAATCGGACCGGACGACCTCGGGTCATCGTGAGGAAGAGGAAAGGTCGTTCGTTGTCCAGAAGTTGGCCTGGAACACCGAGGCCCTTATCGATCGTCTCGAACGAGGTAAAAAGATTGGTTTAATAATTAAATAGGCATTTTGATCTGGAGTAATGTTCTACTTATTTAGCAAGCAAATTTTAAACTTAACTTTTATTTTATTTTATCCATGAATATAACATTAATGTACAAAGGTTTGTTTAATTTTAAACTCGTTGTTGAAAAATGTTATTTATATCAATGCTATTGTCAATACGTTCTTTAAATAGTTAATAAAGTATGAATGATCTCACGAAGAAAAATATAATAATTCATTTTTTTTTTTTTTTTTGAATAGAATAATTTTGAATTTATTTGATCATTTTTCATTGTATGAAAAATATGTTTTCTTCTTGCATAAATATACAACATTAACGTTGAAATTATCGACTCATGACATGTCTTAAATATAATACATAGATGACTGTAATTAAAGAGCTAGGCAAAAATTAAATATATACACGTTCTCATCCACAAATCTTTGAACACTAATTTTAAACATATTCAAATAAATATTAATTAATCTATAATACTGGTAAAAATTTATATCAATTTATATCAAAAATCTTTAAAATCTGTTATTTTATCTTGGCAATTCTAACGTCATTGAATCACAATTGACGTTTGTACATGACACAGATCTGTTCACAGTGTTCTCGATCCAATAATTAAGGAAATCACGACAATTATCTATCTTTACTATTCTCGTATTTCGATAGATTGATGTCACGATATCTTAACAAACCGTGTCATTTCACAATCGAGTAATACGATTATATGATAGAAAAGTCTCTCGTTCGTTTTCTAAAAAAGAAAAAATCTAGTATATAAAGTGCATTTACATACGAGGCGAATATATTTCGTGGAATTATTTACATCGAAATTTAACGGTCACGCGTTCGTGGCATGAATCGAGCACGGTAAACTTCATGGAACCTGCTTGAATTTTTATGTTGGTAAATAGAGTTGGATGTGTTACAAATTGTGTCAAGAGGCAGAAGGAAGTTGTTGGTGATTTAACGTTGAATTTATCGTGTGTTTATAACTCGCGTGAATGTGAATCGAGAGAATGGATGGGACGTGTAGTAGGATTCTTTTGATCGTATTGCCTCGTTGAAGGCGAGGGGGGATTTGTTATTTTTGTTTAAGCGATGATTAAGCAATTTTCGTGGAAAAAATTATATTGGCTCACGAGAGTAATAGAACGATTTAGTGAAACTTTAAAACAACTTTAAAATATATACACTGTGTTCCATTTTGTTTTTTCATTCAAGTAATGTTGTAACTGTAGTAATATTAAGCGCGTAAAATTTGAAGTGAATTTATAAAAGGATAGAATGTGGAAGAAAATCAAATAGTATTCGTAATACATAAATTTAGGAATTTAGAAGATACATGTTTTAATTATCGAAGAAAGGATACGAATTTTATTATAAATGTTTACTTTAGAATTATAGAAATTAATAATTATGATTTTTCGTCATTTTCATTATGCGGTTCCGTATTGTAAATACACCATTATATTATCATCATACAATTTATTTATAGCTCCTAGTTTTCCAATTGATGTAAAAATACATTAATCGATTGCAACTTTTTTCTTGTAAACAAACAAAATTCTGATAAGAATTAAATTCCACATTCTTCCTTCGTGTTATTGAATACGTTTTTTCCAATCATGATATCATAATCTTAATAATAATTTTTCCATGCACAAAGAATTTTAATTTTCATCATAATTTTATTATAATAATTATCAGAATCTCTTTAATCAAAGGCAAATCACGTTTTTCCCGTAACGAGTCAACTTTCTATCAACACTTCTAATTAACAGACTTCCGATAACTTCCCAATTCTTCGTCACCCTTTCAACTTTTATTCCAATTTTTATTCCAATATCGTTCTCGTTTCAACAAACAAACAAAAAAAAAAAAAAAAAACATTTAAGAAAAAGAAGAAGAAGAAAAAAAAGAATCGACAATTCTTCGTTTGACATATCAACTTGTTAACAAAATAATTGGTTAACCAATAATTATAATCTCTCGAAAGAAAAATTGATGAAAGCTACACGACGAAAAAAAAACATAAATGATAAACGACAAAGATAAATATTGAAAAATATTTTTGAATTCTCCGAGAAAAATAACACGTATGCATACGATCGTATATACGACAATTGTACTATCTTTGTATTTCCTTTCATCATACTCCAATTAAATCGTGCTTGAACTATGTCACAAAGCATGGAGAGGAGGTCAACGTGTAATATATTCGACTAATTCAACGAGATGTTTTTCCATCGATGGAAAAGTACGATTGCCCTGATCGAAAGTGAGTCGATTGGTGGAGCGGGGTTAAGCGGGGTTTATTGAAAACGAAATGGAAACGGGTTGAGCGTCGTATCCCGTTCAAGGCAGAAACATCGGTTTTATCGCGCGGCCGCGTCTGCACGCGCGCGTGTATGCGTCCGCCCACGCGGAGCCGAAGGGCCCACGCAGAGCTCGAATATATGTATAACGAGGACGAGGCGGAAGATAAAGGGGAAGGAATGTGAGAAGACGCGCCACGTAATTGCCGGAAAGGGGATGAACTTTTCGCACGGAGATCGTGTTTACCTGAGATCTGTCAGTCGGTTTTTCATTTAGATGAAAAGATTTGATTACGCGCCATGAAATATTGAATAATGCAAAGAAGAGGGGGGTTACTTGAAAACGGCACTTGGTTTGAAAATTATGCCATGCGATTTTGTGATTTTGATGATAATTTTGATGAAAAATCGGCGAATTTTGTATTTTCTTATTATTATTATTATTGATTTCTATTAAAATTTTCTAAACGTAATCATTAAGTGGTATGATTGCAACAAATTAATAATACGTAATACACGTGGGAATTTTTACTTTTTCTTCTCGTTTTTTAAATAAATTCACGCATTATTCTTTACATGTTCGATTTCGTTTGAATTCCATACTGTTTTGATTATAAAATGAATTCTAAATATTGGTGCCTATATGTTGGAAAATAATGTGTAACGCGATGACAAACGATAAGAAAAGTTGTAAAATATAAACATAAATGTTTAATTTGAAACGGTACACTCGATGTGTTGGTTCCTCCGATAAATAAATTTCTTTGATCTTTTATGAAATAGGCTCGACTTCTATCGATAAACTTTTTCTTTAAGACAATGATATTTTAATTATTAATCACGATATCGAATTACAAATACGATAAGTTATCATAAAGATAAACTCAATTAGCAAAGTCGATAAGCTGAAAATTCTTGATTTACAAGGTTCAGAAAGATTTGACAATCGAATGATTAATATCACACTCGTAGGCGTACTCGAGGATCAGTTTCATGAAACTCGTTTGAAAACTGATCGTTTGATATTGAGTTAAATGAATGGAGCAGTGGTTGCGAGTACTTTAAAGTACATTTATAATTCGTCGATTAGTGGGTGGAATTTTCAAATTATGTTACATTTAATGAGATTGTGCGGGTTTGGAATATTCGAGCATTAAGTGAATTACCATTACACTTATAACTGTCGAGTGCATCGATTATCGATGGAATAATACGAAGTATTGTTGATACACAATAATAGATTAGCTTATTCGATATTTTACACAAATTCTCTTTTTAACAAATCTCCTATATCAATTCAATATTTATCATTAATTAATACCGTTATCATTTTACATTTATGAGAATCTTCCATTTCTACCTAAAAATTGATAAACATTAATTTATATAATTATAATCTTCTTCTCTTCTTACCTTTTTTTTTTTAAGATAGACTCAGAAAGGCCAATTAAATTATTCCAATTCACTTAGGAAATTTAAAAAAAAAATTATCGTTGCTTTTAATCTCAGCATTCGCGTGGAAAAATTAAATTAAATATATTTTTTTCTATTTTTCTATTGTATATACAATTAAATCTCCAAGCCTTTGTCTTCTAAAGGTCAATCATTAATCGATTCCTTTATTCAATTTTCATTCTCTCGCTATCAAAATCAATTAGTATCGTTGCCATTTCATTTTTCTTTTCTTTCTCTTTTTTTTTTTTTTTTTTTTTTTTTTGCAAAAATCATTACCTCATTTAACACACACATAGGGAAACTCATCTCGTGTTTGTAGAACCGCAAAGGCTCGGCTTACAAGCGAAGCGATACATCTCGAAACCGATTTCTCAATGAGCCATCATCGTTCGAACATCGTAAACAAATGCGCAAAAGGGAAACGAAATAGATCACGCGCCATGCTCTGTTTGCTCGGATCGCAAATGAGATTTTCGCGAGGTGGAGAGCCACGAATTGTGACGCGTGACGCAAGCAACCGATGCAGAAAATGTGCACGCGCTTTCTCGTTACGTAATCCACGAATTATAAACAATCGAGTCGAGTCGCAGCGATGTTTGTCATTCCTCGTCAAACGTGGAGAAACCTCGACGAGGAGGTTTGGCAATTGTTGCCCGTGACACTGCGAAACCCTCGTTTCATCGGGTCAATGTTTTTGGGCCTCGATGGTGAAATTATTTTGCAACCGTTTACCGATCCATAGATATTTTCCTCTCCAGTTTTTTGAAAACTGAAAAATAAAAGTGGATGAATTAAATTAAATTATATTATTTTGGAAATGGCAAATTATGATTGATTGGTGGAAAATATTAATTCATTGTATAACGGTTTCATTCAAGAAGATCTTTATTCCAAGATTGTGAGAATTAATTTTATATATGATGATGAAATGAAATAATTTAAATATATGTTTAATATTGTGTAGAGAATGCAAATTATTCTGTTCAACTGATCATTATAATAAATTATGTCATCTATGACAACGTTTTATGTCAATAGTATTCAAAACTCATAACATAACAAAAATAATTACACATGAATATTTTTTTAAATAATGTTCGTGTCAAATTCCTTCAAACGTCTAAATAGCATGTTAAAAATTACTTTATTCGCCTAATAAAATTTTTTCTTTCGTCGAGCGGTACTTGTCAAAGAAAATATTATTATTCATACGTGAATATTATAATGAACATAGCTAGCGTGAACTAGCGTGATATAAAAAAAGTACATATCGACATTGAAAATATAAATATATGAAAATTACGATGTAACGATGTGCTTCATAAATATTCACAAAGATTAGCAATTAGATAAATATTCATAACTAAAAGGAAAAATGATCCATTCCTTTCTTCTCCAATTCTTCTTTGTGATCGATGACTGGATTAATCCTTATACTTTCACTTTCATGATTTTCCATATACCTGCGAGATGTGATTTCAGAAGGGAAATAGGCTCGAAGAAGATCGGTTATAAGGTACTGGTTACCTCGAATAATCGATAATTAACATACGTGCCCTGCTATCTTGGAAGATCCTGTATAGGAGTCGAGATATTATTCCAAGCAAAACAAGTTTTAATATAAATTAGATGATGTAGATTTTCCATGTTAGTTTTAAACATGGCTATAGACGAGTCATTTCGTAACAACTATCCAGATTTCTGCTATATCCGACTTAATTAGCAGGTTGAATAATTGATATTACGTTACACATCCTTTTGGGATGTGAACGTGATTTCAAAATTATCTATAATAATATCCCAGTACTGGAATATTAAGTACATGCACGAATATTTTTATAATTCTGTTAAAATTGTATCTGTATTTATACGTGATACAATTAAATTCATTTAACCAATTATTTCCTAAGCGAAAACATATCGGTTCTTCTTCTTTTTTTTTTTTTTTTTTTCAGAAGGCACCGATATCTCGGGAAAAAAGAGGAAAATTTTACCGTGTAATCTCGATTTTAATATGCAATAACATTACACATAGTGTACAGAATCTTTCGCGTAATTGGAATCTTTAAAATATCGTTAACATGTAAAAGAAAATGTTGCCCAGTATAATGTGCAAACTTATAATCTTTCGAAGGTATCGCGAGTTATTCAGAATCATTTATTTTTATTTTATTTTATTTTTTTTTTTTTTTCCACGTAACCCCTTTAGAGCCATATAATCCATCCATCCGCGTGAAATATCCAATATACATAAAAATATTCATCCATAAAACTTCTGTAAAATAATTTTCCATAACGATTATTACACGTCACAGGAGAAACCAATTAAAAGTTACAAATCACTGGAAACAACGCGTCAAGCGTTACGATATACGAGTATGTATTAACGCGTAACGGCTGTAAATACAGATAGTACCTACGTGATATTTTCGAGCGAGTAGTAGGGAAGGCGTTTCGTTAATTTCCGGCGTGTCGAACAATATTTTTCGCAACGTGCACAACGCGTTTCGCATCGGCTGTTCCCAATCGAATCACCGTATCGTCGACCGGTGGAAATTCAACTTTCATCCCGAAATTGGTTAAATGCTGTTCGCCTCTAACAATCGAGTCGCGAGGGAGCGGTTCTGTGAATGGCAAGTATAATCGGCGTATCTACCGGAAGTCCGGCCTACGGGTTCCGGCCCCGAGGCACGCTCATCTCGTTGTCTCTCTGCGTTTTTTTTTTTTCCCTTTCTTTTTATCCCCCCTCTCTCTCTCTCTCTCACACACACACACACACACACTTTTCGTTCTCCTTTTTTTGCTTTTTTTTTTCGTGCGCATCATTGAACAACGAGACGCTGTTGACGGAAAAAGAGAGGCACGAGGCTGCGTGCAATGAGAGGGGGTGAGAAGTTGACGCAGCTGCACAAGTCGCAGGTGGAACCGGATTAGATTATCAACGCCACGGTGTCGTTCCTGGGGATGACGACACGGCTGCTCTTGCGGCCGAGTTGTTCGTCATTCGAGAAATTTGAAACACGCTTCTCTTCCCCTCTCTTGCCTCTCTCCACCTCGGTGAGAATTCGGGTTCCGCGCTCGAGTTCCGTCGAATTTAGAGCGAAATGTTAGTTTGATGAATGTTGATTGCAGATTACTGTGGAAAATGTGTGTATATGTGTGTGTGTGTGTGTTAGATGTCTGTGAGATAGTTTCTGATCTTCAATAATATATTTTTGTCTATTTTTTTTCTTCGTCCTTTTCGATGAGGATTTACCCCTTTGTGATCGAAACGAAATATTTTTCATTCCTCTTAAGTTAAATTTTCCGGAATAAATTTGTAAGATTTATCCTGGTATTTTTCAATAGGATATTTATGTACAAATATTGTGTAAATGTAAATGTATATATTATTGCAGATATAAAAAATTTAATTGTAATTGCTCTTTTATTTTTTTTATTTTTCTATTTTATTTTTCCTATTGTTCCTTTGCAGATCGACTACCCGGAACTGCACGGAGGAAGGATGCATCGACCACCGCACCCTCATCCCATAACTGACCATCGACAGGTCAATTTGGTCTTCGATGACACGGTAAACATCTGTTTTCGAACCTTTCTCTTTTTTCTCTGCAGGTAAAAATTGTAAGAGCATTCTTTCACAGATTTTAAGAACGCATTCACGCAGATAATCCTTTTTTGATCTGAATTTCTTCATATACTTCAAGCATTATGCATATAAATTCTTGAAATAAATACTTTTAGGCTAATTGTTTTTTTCAAATGCTAGTGCGTTAAATTTTTATTAATATTGCTGCGATATGAAATGACGTTTTAATATATCCATAAGAAATTTATTGTAATGCTTGAATTTGAATAACTTGCTTTATTCTTAAATTTTACTTCTTTGTCTCTCTCTATTGCCAAAATATCTTGGTCCCATTATCCACTTCGAATTTTTCCTAATTCTTGCTTTCAAAAATTCTGATAAAATTCAGAATATTTTTATTACTGATATCTCTATTACTGATAACTCTACTTCATTATATTTCAATAAATTGTTAATCTTTAAAAATTAAATTTTTGTATAGATAGTTATATATCTCGTTTGAATATAGCACAATTGATAACAAAGTGTATTCATATTAGACACGATCCGTCAGAGTTGGCAGGTATCTAGCGATAAATCAAGTCATGTGCACTTTTGCACATGATTTCTGATCATTTCTCTCGCAACGGTTCATTTATCTCACGTCATCATAGTTCAAATCGTTGAAAGAAAGTTTAATATCGTCATCCATGATGCGTTTGCTTGCCCACATATTTTCTTTAATCAAAAAAAAAAAAAAAAAAAAAAAAAGAGAAAGAATAAATATTAAAAAAATGGCGAAATCAAGTTGGAAGTTGGTTGGTGATAAAACTTTTAAAACAATCGTTTTTTATTCTCATTGTATATGTTTTCTCATGCATTTCAAATGCGTATCTTTTCTCTCTCCCTCTCCCTGTAAAGAAAACTTTTATCAGTTTGTAAATTTTTTTATTTGCATTGATGCTTATACAGTGAAAATCACGAAGAATAAATAGCGATCATTGAGAGAAAATTTTTTGTTGAAAAAATTTCCGTATTGTATTTAAAAAAAAATTCGATTTTTTTCTGAAAATATGTAATATTTTATATTCGTCTATACCAAAATGAAATAAAAGCATCTTTCATTTTTTTGATACTATAGAAAAATAGCGCCTTCTAATTTTAGAATAATATATGGTTGTTATAATTTTTTCTAATATACCATTAAAAGTTATAAATATTATAATTATTTTAGTTAGCTCCTTAAATAATTTATAATAATTTATAACTATATTGTATTGGAGTCTCTAAAAATGAATACCCTTAAATTAGTATACAAACTATACTATTATTATCTATAACAGTATCTAATATACTATTATTACCAAGATATAAATATGTAATTTTATTATATATAATTTTTCTTAACGTTCTTTCAATGTTATATCAAGTAAATTAATTATAAATTTCGGATAAAAAAAAGTACATTATACTTGCGCTTTTCCTTGCTAAAATTTTCCAATGTGCCGCTCCCGGATCGAAAGTTCGTTACGGTACAACGCGTGCGCATAAGATGATCTACATTAGACTGTCTTTCCCCTAAAGAGTCTGTGGAATGCACATCGGTGGCATGCACTGGTATGTCAATGTCTGTTCGGTTGAGTAGGAAGAAACTGAATGAGAGAAGCAATTTGGAAAGTCTGTGGAGCAGGACAAAAGGAAAAGTGAGACATGGGCACGACATAACGGGTCGTATAAATCATCCGTCGGGTCGGCCAGTGGCCTTTAAGTTACTATCCGCTGTATTGGATGCTTTGAGCAGACCGGTACTCTTTTCTCCGAGTATCCTCTTTCTCTCTCAATCGCTTACCGACTGACGATTGACCGACCGTCGACTCCTTAAGCTCGTTTCACACGAACGATTTTTATGAAACCTCACGTTACGTCTCATCGCAAGTTCAAATACACGCACGAAAATTTTATATAATGTTGAATTGCTATGTAATAATTTCTTCATACAAAATGATAATTTTTTTAGTGTGATCGATGTTTGATTATCCTTATTTATACATGATTAATTATTTACGAAAAATCGTTTTATGTGTAAGATTTCATCTGAATACAATGTGCATAAAAATATGTTTTAAAAATATATTTTTCATAATTAGTGTTTTCATTTAAGTTTAAATGAAAGAATTTATAAATTAATTCAATAATTAAAAACTATTTCCCAATACGTTTGCTATTTCAGAAATACAAAATGAAATGTTGAATGATGTAGAAGTTTGGATACAGAAATAGTATGTAGTAATAAATGATTATTAATGAGATGCAAGTAGGCTGAAACGAAAAATCTTCTCGAGGACATTTTCAACGCGTTATCGATAGCAGTGTTTTTGTTAGTGTCACGGTCAGAAGCTACAGGTGGGCCCCCCAATGTGCGCCCTCCTATTGCGACGGGCCTGGAGTTTGCCGCTCAGTTGGGTCACGTGACCCTATACTTTCGAAGGGAATGCCGGTGGTAGGATGAAGGGTGGGGGAGGGACAAGAGGCAGTCCCATGTCCGCTACTTTGCTAAGCTGACGGCCCACGACACGGGGCACACCAAACGCGCCACGAGCTTCGTAAATGCACACAAAGAAGGTCACATCGCGTTGCGTGTATATACATTGGCATATGCGCTCGCGAATGAGAGTGGGTTTCGCGAGTTCGATCGAATCGTGGACAAGTAACGAAAAGAGAATGTGGTCGGATAGTAGTTGTTCTTTATATTATTTCTCGTGATCTAAAACACGGAAGAATAGAGTGTCGAACAAGTGCCATTATTAAGACGATAGGATGGACGCCTTCGGCATGTATCAAGTGAGTCTGATGATCTCCCGCGGCTCAAAATGGCCTTGGTTTATAGCGATATTTTCCTCGTTCTTAAGATTTCTTACGAACAATTCATTATTATGAAAGATCATAGATGATCGTTGATGATTATTGTGGGATGACAGATGTCACGATGTTTTTGTTTAGACATACGTGCCACTATTTCTATCTCTTTCTTGTCGTGTGTTTTCTCTGATCGCTCGATGTTGCGTGCGTGATGTCATGTCTGGCAACCTAACCTAACTTAAGAACAGAGCTTGTCCCCATCACGCCCATTCCTGGTATTATTCCGTAAACGAGCACCGCTCGTAGTACCCATGTTTTTGTCTTACATGTTTCTTGATCCCGTTCTTTGCAGCCTCTTCCTACCAATTGACAGATCGATGTCTGGGGATGATAGATTGCACGTTATTCACGTAGGTTTCTTTTGTATGAGAATTAAACGGGACAGTGCATTGATAATTTTATTTTGGATTGCACTATGCTATTGTTTATAATCTGTGATTATGCCGATACATTGTGATAAAGAATGTATTGCTTTGGATTTAAAATCGTCTGGCATGAACATTAATGTAAACACTTTAGTTTAGATATTTGATAGTGTAGTAATAACAAAGCGAATATGTTGATCATTTTTAATTAATGCAAAAATATCACGATGTATGTCAATGTTAAATTATACAAGATATAATTATATAATATATATATTAATTGCATAGACTATTATCAAAACATTTTTATATTAATTATTGATAAAAAATGTGCAATATGGATTAAAATCTAATATAATTATATAATAAATATAATATAATAATTAATTGGATTTTCTTTTCTTCTGTATTCTAGTTTTCTCAAGGCCTGACAGGCAGGCCAGAGTTATACCAAAAGTCCAACAGAAGCAGCCATTCGAGTGACACAAGTTCAGCATATAGTGGTTCAGACACTATGACATCTGTACAAGGATCATTAGATGCAGATCCAGATGCAGATGATGTTGATCTATCAGGACTTGTTGAATCTATAGTGGATAGTGATGAAGAAGAAGATCTTGCAGAAAGCATGGATGTAATTGATTTTTTTTAAACAACTTTTTAAATACTAAAATATTTAATAAATAAAAATAACAAATTACTTTTTATTTATAGAGCTTGACTGTCCGTGATCCTGTCAGAGAATGTTTAGAAAAAGATCCTATGGAAAGGACAGAAGATGATATAGAAACACTCTTAGAATTCACACAACAATTAAAGGCCTTTACAAATATGACTTTGGCAGTAAGAAGAGCGCTGTGCGCTGTGATGGTGTTTGCTGTAGTTGAACGTGCTGGTATGATAGTTTTAAATGATGGAGAAGAATTAGATAGTTGGAGTGTGCTTATAAATGGTGCTGTGGAAATTGAGCATAGCAATGGAGAAATTGAACAACTGCATCTTGGTGACAGTTTTGGAATTTTACCCACTATGGAAAGACTTTTGCATAGAGGTGTTATGAGAACAAAGTAAGTTTTATATTAAATATATATTATTACTAATATTCATGAAATAAAAACTTTATTAACATAATTTATTTATTTACTTTTTTAGATGTGATGACTGTCAGTTCGTATGTGTTACTCAGGCAGATTATTTCAGAATTCAACATCAAGGAGAAGAAAATACAAGGCGGCATGAAGAAAATGGGAGAGTAATTCTAGTAACAGAGTTAAGAGGTGCTTTAGATGGCGGAGCACGCAGGGGTCATGTAGTTATTCGCGGAACTCCTGAACGTTTAATGTTACAACTTATCGAAGAAAACAGTATTACCGATCCTACTTATATAGAAGATTTCTTATTAACCCATCGAACATTTATTGATAGTCCCTTGTTAGTTGCAAGTCAATTGTTAGAATGGTTTGATCAAGCACAAGTCAGAGATAGAGTTGCCCGTGTAGTACTTCTTTGGGTAAATAATCATTTCACTGATTTTGAAACTGATCCAGCTATGATGGAATTTCTGGAAGCATTTGAAGCTGGATTAGAAAGAGAAAAAATGCAAGGACAACAAAGGTATATTTTAATCTGAATTTATGTTTTTTTGTATAATTAGTAAGTATTTATATCATTTACTTACAATTTGTCAATAAATTTTAGATTATTAAATATTGCGTGTGCAGCAAAAGCGAGAACGCGGAATGTAACATTAGCAAGACCAACTAGGGATGAAGTCTTACATTTTAGTATTTTGGGGGGGTATGAAAGGGGTTTCGGTATTTTTATTTCAAAAGTGGATAAAAAATCAAAGGCTGAAGATGTTGGTTTGAAACGTGGTGATCAAATTTTAGAAGTAAATGGACAAAGTTTTGAACACGTGAATCATGCCAGAGCTCTTGAAATTTTAAGGGGATCTACTCATCTCAGTATAACTGTTAAATCAAATTTACTTGGTATGTGGCATCTTCTAGAAATAATAACTTATGGATTATATTTTTTTTATACGAGCAATGAATTACTGTTGTAGCGTTTAAAGAAATGCTTCAGATGCCAGATGATTCGCCAAGACCGCGGGGAAGAGCAAACAAATCCGAAATTTCAAGATTACAATCAGATCCACGTGCGAGGTTGTCTACGCATGTGGATACAGTAACTCCAGTAAATCCATTGAATCCTTTGGTGGGTGGTGTACCATTATTAATTCCTGATTCTAACGTTTCTCCTTGTAAAGACGCTAAAAAGGAACATAAAGGATTCATGACGCTTGGACCCAAAAAGAAATTACAAAAAGCTCTCATAAAAATGAATATACTGCCAAAGAATACTATTAAGTAAGCTGAAAATATATATGTTATAAATATGTTATAAATATATATAATATATGTTTTTCTCTCTCTCTCTTTTTTCTTTTAATTTAAAAAAATATTTTAAGGAAAAATTTCAAGGATGTATATAATAAATAATTCATTTACAGTGATGGTGTACATGTAGATGATCCTCTTGCACCTCCTCATACACCACCAGGAACAGGAGGACTTGCACAAACTACTAATCTTTATCACTCAAAAAGTAATCCTGATCTTACGTCATTGTATTGCTATGATGACTTAAGGGCACCTGACTATCCAGAACATGTTCTAAAAGTTTATAAAGCTGATCAAACTTGTAAATATCTTCTTATTCACAAAGAAACAACGGCACACGAGGTAGATATTTTAATCTAGGAAATATATTAAAGTTTTCTATTCATGTGCTAATATAAGATAATTTTAGGTGGTGATGCTTGCTCTTCAAGAATTTGGTATAACTGAAGGTAGTTCGAATTTTTCTTTAGCTGAAGTTAGTGTTGGAGAAGGAGGTATGATTAAACAACGCAGGTTACCTGACCAATTGCAAAATCTTGCGGAACGAATTGGTTTAAGTTCTCGATATTATTTAAAAACTAATGGTATTTCGGAGACTTTTGTAGCAGACGAACAAGCGCCAGAACTCATACGCGAATCTCAGGTTCATTTCTTACAATTAAATGCAGTTGAAGTTGCAATTCAGCTGACTCTACAAGATTTCAGTATATTCAGGTAAGTTAATGATATTATTCATTTTTTTGCAACTTATTTTTTACATAATGAAAATATATTTATATCTTATTATTAGGCAAATTGAATCTACGGAATATGTGGATGATTTGTTCGAATTAAAGAGTAGATATGGAGTGCCAATGCTCAGGCAATTTGCAGAACTAGTCAACAGAGAAATGTTTTGGGTTGTGACAGAAGTTTGTTCTGAACACAATCTCGTTCGACGTAGTAAAATAATAAAACAATTTATAAAAATAGCAAGTAAGTTTTTTAGCATTTACAATCGTCGATTAAAATATTTATATTATATAAGTTTTTCAACATTTTCTTATTTATTACAAACAGGGCAGTGTAAAGAATGTAAAAATTTCAATTCTATGTTTGCAATTGTATCTGGTTTGGGTCATGGAGCTGTATCCAGATTAAGAGCTTCTTGGGAAAAACTGCCAAGTAAATATCAAAGGCTATTTAGTGATCTTCAAGAATTAATGGATCCTAGCCGTAATATGAGTAAATATCGACAATTGGTAGCATCTGAACAAACGCAACCTCCCATAGTAAGTTTCTTTTTATCTCTCATATTTTAATTATCTTACTATTCAATTACTTTGTAAATAATGAAATAACGTGGAATATTTTTTTTTTCTTTTTAGATTCCATTTTATCCAGTAGTGAAGAAAGATTTAACATTTATACATCTTGGTAACGATTCTAGAGTGGAAGGTTTGGTGAATTTCGAAAAGCTGAGGATGATCGCAAAAGAAGTAAGAACATTAACGAATATGTGTTCTTCGCCATATGATTTATCGATAATGTTAGAAAGAGGTGGCCAACCACCTAGTTCTGCCATGGTTGCGTTAAATCAAATGACAACTGGCAATCAAGGTAATTTAATTCGATTGTATAAAAATAGAGCCAGATATATGATAATTCATTTTTACTAACAGTGTTACAATGTCCAGGAGGACAGACAGCTACGGTGAAAAGACGAAAAAAATCTACCGCTGCACCGAATCCGAAAAAAATGTTTGAAGAAGCACAGATGGTTCGAAGAGTAAAAGCATACCTTGCCAATATGAAAGTAATAACTGACGAGGAGCGATTACACGCTTTATCTGTGGAATGTGAACCTCACGCGGGAGCTGCCGCAGTAACTGCAGTACCTCTTAATGCGAGCAGAGGGAGGAGACATCCTTCTCCTACTCTATCGACAACAAGCAGTGCCAGCAGCACTAGCGAAGGTAGAAAGAGTATACAAGGTAAGATTTTATTTGTTGAAATTTGACTTAAGTTTTATAAAATGATAAGTATTAATTATATTCTAATTTTAGGTACAAAGTTCGGAGCAGCATCGCCACAAGCAGTACGAAAAATGTTGGCGCTTTCCGATCCCCATAAAACTCGTCCCTATCAACCAAAACACTGTCCACCGCCGCTTCCAGTGCCGGGATTGGCATTACATTCCAGCGGACTGGAGCCTAGTCCCGGTGCACCTAGGAGAGTAGGATCTGGTAGCCGAGTTCCTATGCATGAGAGATCCCATAGCGATACTCCTTCCAGTTTACCACCACCTGTCGATCTCAGTGCTGAAAGTAGTAGCGTAACCAGCCTGAGCAATCTTCAGCCATTAAGAAAAACGTTGACCAGTGGTAAGTTGATTAATTTCGACACATGAAATGGTTCGAAACGAGATGCTGTCAATCACCGTTTGATATACATTATACATACATACACACATGTACACGTGAATACTTTATAGTGTCAAGTTTTTTTCTATGTCTCTATACATTTTGCTAGCTTTAGATCGATAAATCACACGGTGCTTCTTTTTATTTTTCTTTTGAACGTTGTTTTATTGCGACACACTAAAGAGCAGACACATCTCGTGAAGTACCATTAAATGCACCTTTCATTGCTCGTGACCGTACACATTGGTCAGGTCTCGCAAATTCTAAGAAACTATCTCATTTTATATGCACGCTGCACAGCCGTTTACGCAATTCATAAATGTTCCATGTTTATATTTAGCTTATCCATTTTACACGCATCTTGTACGTCGATTACCGTAGCTCGCGCTTTTTTTCAATCAATATTATCGTCCCGTGTTATACACATCACGGTCCTGTTCCCAGGGCGAAGCACGTCTAGCTTCAATTTAGAATACTCACCATGGGACATACGGACGCGTGAATCATCCTTCAGTAATTTAATCTTATTGCTATAGTCTTGTTTATGTTTTCTTTCTAATCACTTTTTATCAACAATTTAAATAGATAGTAATTTCAATTTTTATAAATTTTCTTAATACTTTTCTCAATTCAAATATTAATTTAATTATAGGAAATAATTATCGCTCCTGGGAATCACCCTTTTGATGAAATCTCATTTTTCAGGACACTAATATATATATAATTTTTTTTTTTTTTTCAATTTCAATCTTTTCTCTTCGATATAACACGTAACTCATTTTATTATTAGAAGTAGTTATAATAAAATAATCGTTTACAGAAAGACGATCTCTGGTAGGCGTGCATCGAAAAACAAACGCTGTGCGAGCGCGACTTTTAATCGCTACATTTTCGTAGGCGTTACTGGCGTGTTTGTTGTGGCTCTGATTTTTCAAATGAGAGAACGAGAGTGAGAGAAAGAGACAGAAAGAGAGAGTGTTGCGGATTACCATGCGTCTGATGAACGCGATTAATATTTGTTAGATAATTAGCAGTTAGCGGGCGCATCAGGGCGAGAACTGGGTTAGAATGTGTAGTGATAGAAGTGTCTTGGGGACGTGTGCGTAGGTTCGGTGACGAGCAGTGACAGTGGTCACAGTACGCAACTGGACAGCCACAGCGGAAGCAGCGTAGAAGCTGGTGGTAGTCCACCGCCACCTCAAAGACGGCACTCCGCTATGCAAGGTACGTAAACTTGAACCAAAAGAGATCAAATAATTCCACAAGCTCGTGCTCATTATTCCTCTTGTTCCCTTTTTTTGCCCGTTCCGTAGACCGTAGTTTAGAAGGTAGAACCAAAGAAAGAATCTGGAGTGGTCCAACAAGATAAAATTGCCTTTTTTAATTTTTTTTAATTTCTTCTTTTTTTATCTTTTATTTATTATTTATACTTTTTTTTTTTTTCTTTTAAATTAAAACGTTATCGTTGTTGATGACACGTATATATCGTGTATGTGATTGACACAGTAATTGAATTGCGTGAAATACGTTTCGTGGTACGATTGTTTCAATGAGTCTCTGTTTTCCTTTTTTTCTCTGTTATAATCGCAAAAGTGATCGTATAAAAAAAAAAATCTTTTTTTTTTTTTTTTTTCCAGTAGTGTGTGACGTATCGTTATATATTTTTTGTAGTTAGTTAAACGAGAATGATTCGTTTTGGAAACGTGTGATATTTGTTGTATATACGTCTCTTGATGACTATATATGAATATCCTTCGAGTAACTATCTATTTTTTCATTTTATTTATTTATTTTTTTATTTTTTTAATTTTCTTCTTCTTCCCCCCCCCTTTTTTTTCTCTCTCTCTCTCGTTTGATATTGAAGTAACTGAAATATTTTCTCATTACAGTTTGCCGTTACACACAGTCATAATCCGTTTACTCCTTCGAATCATTCGTTTCACTGTCGGGTCACGATTAGATTTTAACGTTGAAAAGAAAAAGCGTATGTCCCATGGCCACTCATCTTCATTTTTCTTTCTATCGTATGGTAGTTAAGATCAAAGAATTCCGTGCAATTTAAGCTGTAGTACATAATATTACATATATTATAGATATATATACGTACACTTTTTTTTTTTTTTTATCCTTTCCGGTAACATTATTTATTTACCGTTTAGCCGAGCGTTGCGCCGATAAAACGTATATAGGTAAACGTGCTTTATAGCCGCTTCTTCTATCCCGGGAGTTCCAATCGCTTTCAGTACATTTATCGCTTAAAGCTTTTTCTCACAGAGACTCGCTTCTTTACGCATTATTCACGCATACACGCATACATAAATATTTATAGTATAATAACTTCGACCCAATTTTTCGCGATCTGTTACACTCGCGGTACTCACTCTAGGAATCTTCTTCCTTCACGTTCATAAAGGAAGTCGAAGTTTATTTCTTTCCTCTTTTCTCTCTCTTTTTTTTTTTTTTTTTTTTTTTTTTTTTTTAATTCTTTCGAATAAATTGTACAAATCTCATCGTATAACGTTGTATAAATACATTGTACATTTCTAAGATTTTTCCATCATATCCATCCTCCCTAAACGTCTCTCTTCTCTCTCTTTAAATAAAGTAAAAGAAAATGGAAAGGAGGAAAATGATATCACCGACGGTGAAACCGGTGTATCATTGTAAATTTTGTAAAGAAACATTTCGTATGTGGCCTGTGTGTGGTGCAGGGTCTGTTTTGAGAGGTGGTGCACCTCCGTTCCCTCACGCGGTAGCAGTGTTACCTCCGCTTCCTGCCAACCACAACCAGAACCACAACCACAATCATCATCACCACCACCACCACCACCACCACCACCATCACCACCAACATTATTACGATCATCACCATCACCAACCCCAAAATCCTCAAGGTGAGTCCGCGATTGTCTTGCCTGTCTTGAGTTTCTTTCTATCTCTCTCTCTCTCTCTCTCTCTCTCTCTCTCTCTCTCTCTCTCTCTCTCTCTCTCTCTCTCTTTCTCTTTCTCTCCTGCAACTTGGGCTGATCTCTCCTTTCTTTTTTTTTTTTCTTTTCTTCCTTCTCTGTAGAAACTCTTCGTTCGACTCTGTGACTGCGTTGCTTCCGGGTATACGTAGAATTATGCATGAAGTAGTTGTATGATCATTAATAATCTATGGCGATGGATCTGTAGAGTGCAGTTAGCAATGAATGGGAAATGAGACACTGTACTAATCTCTTGGATATAGAGAGATAGAGAAATGGTTGACATTGATAATACCTATCGACCGGAAGCAACGTGTTGGGCTTTGAGGCATTCATTGATATATATATATGCGTATATACGTATTATATGCTATACACCGATGCTTAAATCCGTATTAATCGCTTGCTCGAAGGGTTGGCGTGTGCACGCTAATAATCACGTGAGTATCATTGCCTGTTCTACACGTGTACGATGCAGGAGGTCGTGCGTGCGTATAGAAAAGGTGTGCGTTGCATCGATCGTGTGTGATCTCGGTTTTTATTTCCCTTCCCTCCCCCCTTTTTTTTGTATTTCTACCGCGTTTCCTCGGGATTAACGGAAAACCGAGGCTTCTTTTCAGGGTATATATATATATTAACTGGTTTTCTCTGCTTTCCTCTTCTTGGGTTGACCTAGCGGTGAATAACGTGTGTGTTGTACAGTTTCCTTGTAAATCCGGCTCATCTTTTTCTCTCTCTCTTTCTCAAGAGAGAGAGAGAGAGAGCGTGTTCTGAACGACTACGACTTTTTCAACAGAAATAAATTCTACTTAAGATCGATGAAAGAGTTAGATACAGAAAGATTTTCTTGCTAATTTTTTTCTTTTTTTTTAAAGAAAAATTTGTTTTCGTAAGAAATTATCGAACGAGAAAAATATTTTCTCACTTTTTTTACGCGTTTGAATAATAAAACGTTTCGCAACTTTGATCCATCTCACGCGATATAATCCTTTTGACAATCTCGTCAAATATTCACCTTTCAATTAAAATAGACCTTTCAGACATCTCGTAAACTTGGACACGAACGTTCCAAACCGTTCGAAACGTGTTTGAAACCGTTAGCTCTGGAAAACAACTGTTAGACGTTCTTCAACGTTTCCAGTCGTGCTCGTTCAGAATCGCAAGTGGCGATGAATTACATGGCGGAGGATAAGGGTTAGAGCGGTTGTTGAGCAGCAAAGAATTGGCAGGGGTGTGAGAGATCGAGAGAAAGAGAGTCGAGGGTTTTCAGGTACTGCGGGATTAGGAGTAGGCGTGGGCCTAGGAGTACCGGCGGCTCTTCCACCCCCAGGAGCTGGGACTACGATTATGACGACGATGACTACCATGACTACCATGACGTCGATGACGACGATGCGTCCAGGAATCGGTAGTGCGCAGTGCCGTCAACCGCCTGCTTACAAAGTTGCGGCCCAGATGGCAAGGTTGCACAGGCTTGGCCGTGCCCACAGCCACGAGGGTGTTACCTACAGGAACGACCATGAAGATGGTACAAATGAAAAAAACAATCGCTAAAATACAATCTAATCTCTACCAAGTTTTTTTTTTTCTCTCTAGACGTGTATATACACTTTTTTTTTCTCTCTCTCTCTCCTCGAATTTAATACATATAGACATAATTTTTTTCGTCCTCGAGGCTTGCTTCGCTCCCCACCACTATCGATAATAATGGTGATGGGAGTGATACCTGGATAGAATTTCAATGAATAGATAGTTTTAATCGGTTTTTAGGACGAAGTTTTAGACGAAGAAATGTACATATATTCATATTGTTTGATATATATATATATTTGAGATTAATTTTAAATTAGAGAGCAGTTTTATTTTAGATTAGGAGTTTGATTTTGAGATTATTGAGTATGCGATATGAATATTATAATATTGATTATTACGACAGAGGTATGCATAGCTTCTTCGTTAAGATTCAATTAGGATGCATAGGAATGAGTAAGTTGGTGTTTATGCAATGGATGGTGAGGATAGAGAGTGAGTTGAATAGTAATTAACGTTTTCTTTGGAGGAATGAGAATTTTAGTAAATATTTGTATATACGAAAGATTGTTCCTTATAAAGATATTAAGTGTATATATTTTTTTTGAATGAGTAAGTAATTTAACTTATATTAAATTATACTTTATTTATATTATTTATTGAGAGTGAGAAAATTATTTAAAATACTGTTTAATAGTATCGTTTATTTTTTATCATTTAGATAGATTGATTAGATGAATTATTAGTGAAATTGTAATTATTATTTAAGATACTTTTAAATACATCAAAGAAATCAAACTAGTTTAGTATATTGTCGATAAATGCATCAGTCCCATCACTGATTATTGATGGATTATTAATGCACGGAGAAAAATGTTAATTATTAATGATTTTTTATCGTTCCACTTATTAATCGCACAAAATTCGATCATTTTTGCCACATTTTCGTTTATTTTTTTCAAACATCGATGTGTATATTGATCTTTCATTTCGTGCTTTGCTGCATCGAATGGAATCGTAATTTAAAATCGTGTGTCATGAAAATTTATGCCAATAATTTTTTAAATTACCAAATTCATTCATATATAACATTTTTCATCGTGAAGATCGACGAATGTCCACGACTTCGTCGCGATGAACTCGATTAATTCTTCTCGATCTAGACATCGTAGGATAGAAAGCTCTAGTTTCTCCAACGTATCGTTATTTATCAAACGAAACACGTTTTGCGAAAATTTTCTTTCCTTCAATGGACGACATATGCTAATGAGACACTTACAATACGCCGATCTCTTTCTACCTTTAAGACACTTCTACATCGATCGAGTACAATGTATGTATGAAAATCCACACACCAAATCGATCGACGATTCCGGAAAAGAATCGTCTTTGTTTGTTGTTCGATGTACTACATGTTTTTCATATTTATCTTCTCGATGATCGCAGCATACTGTAAATAACGACCCATATACGTATTGTTCCACTTGTACATTTTTAATGCAAATTGCCTGTGTAACCATGCATTATCTGTGTGCATAACTCAAATTTCGTATTCTCATATATTTTATATATATATATTTGTTTCTCGATATATTTCAATTTTGGTTTCTTCTTTTTATTTTTATTTTTATTTTTTTTTATTCTTTTTTTTTTTAGCATCATCTAGCGCATTCACTGTGTTTATGTACAAATAAATACGCATCCTTGGCCAGGAATTTGTTGCATCTCGAACGAATTATAAATTGTATCGATGTACCTCTTGTGGCACTCGCTGTTTTATGGCTTGTTACGACCGAAATCGTCCGATTCCCAAAGGATTGCAATTTTATGTTTCACATTTGCATATTGTATAGTTTCGTGTATCATCGTGTCGAGGCATGTCGAGCTTGCTTGCGTTCCAATTTTTTTTTTTTTTTTCTTTCTATTTGCACGTCATGTCACTCCACGATCCTTTTTATTCGATTTGATTTTCATATGAATATATACGTGGAGGGATTTAAAATTAATTGAAATTCAAATAAAACCAATCGTCACATTTCTGCGAATTTTATTTTTTATTGGCTATCATAAAAATTTATTATATATACAAAATTACAGAATTTACAGAACAGAATATCACACAGAGTAACTTGCTAATAGAAATTATTGTACTGTTTGTATGCTTCATTTAAATTTCAATTATATTTAAATCTCTCCTCGAATAAATAGTTTTCTTATAGATTTATTTACAGATAGTTTTTCTACGATAATTTGATAGATGTAATTCTTTGCTTCTTTTCAAATAAGAACGTCTACTTTGGCGAATATAATTTTTATTTCTGATTCCTGATTTTTATTTCGATTCTTTTTTTCTAAAAGTTTTCTTATGCTAGTCGCCATTGAAATTGTAGTTTCTGTACAAAATCTATGCATTGATAGATTTCACGCATTTAGATGATATATTTAGTTAGAAAAATAGATGAAGAAATAGAATACATATAGGAAAGTATGTAGTATAATTCATTCTACACCTTTAATTCGTAATATTCATAGTCTTTAGAAAAAAAACATTCCATCCAAAGTTCAGAAATTACAGTTCCGTGTAATACAATTTTCAAATAATTTATTCTCTTTCTATTTCTAATCTTATTTTTTTTTTTAATCAGAATTATACTACTGGAGAAAAATAAAATAACAAGTTATAAATCAAACATAGTAGGTATTGAAAACGGTATAAAAATTTAAAAAAGATTCAGCCAAGGTAGACAAGACTCGTGGGAGTATATTTACTCTATAACTCCAAATAAGAAAAAAATAAAAAAAAAAATCATCGTTAATCCCAATCTAACGATTTTTCAGACGACGAAGAATCAGCCCAAGTATCAGCAGTTTAAAATGGTTCACGAGACATGCGAGGACTCACTCATCCCTATTCTTCTTTTCCCACGACCAAGAGGAACATGTTCGTCGTGCCACGTGTTAGACGATTCCCTTATCAAAAGGAATCAAAAACGATTTGCGAGACGTGCAACCCTCTT